ATGACTACGATTGTTTCATGATATAGTTGAGCATGATGTGTGTGTGTGTTGGAGAGGGCTACTTACAGAGTATATTTTATATACTCACCCCCCTCTACAATGATTGTTTCAGGTGAAGGACTCGGGGGCGACCATGGTGATGGGACGGAGGAGACATGACGAGCGAGGACCATAGGCTACTTAGTCACTCCTGTTTAGTTTAAGTCATTGGTTAAGGCCTTATGTTATGGCCAATAAACTATTTGTTCGCATTTGAATGATTGGGAGGTTCCCACTTGTTATTGATTTTATTTCAGGATAGGTGTCTATCTTAGTTCTCTACCATTCATTGAGTTTGCCTAGTTTGAACAATAAAATTGCCCCGTGAGGCTGTCCACGGATATTGTTGATTGATATCATATGATTTTTATTTATTGTTAAATTGATGAGAAGTGGAACTTGATGTTATATAATTGTTGCATAGGAAGATGGCATGACGTGTTTGAGGCTAAGTTTAATCAGTTGGGTAGTTAACGTGACTCAGAAGTGTGGGGGAAATTCTGGGTCGTTACACCTATGACTGGAAATGGTGCCCTCTATTTATAGGTTAGGATCCAACAGGGCTTCCGACAGGTAGTTACCTATGTCGGACGTCTAGTCGGACATGTCCAAACATTGGGTCGAACCTGGTAGAAGGTCGGACACTTGGGTGATTTAACATAGATGTTAAAGTCTCCCACCTCGGTAGGTTCGAGGTGGACTTGAAATCCTAGCGTGTCCAAGTATACGCCTCTACGTCCTCCACGTGGCATAATGATTTTCACCACAAACAGATAAAACTTATACTTTTTTATTTAAAATTTTAAAGAACAGGAAATGGTAGGGGTGTACACGGGTTGGGTTGGGTCGATTTAAGGCGGTTATATGGCCTAACCCGAAATTTCAGGTTCACTGGTTCAGTTACCCAAATGAACCCGATGCTTATCCACTTGGCTACATCCGCCGCCCCTACCCCCGCACAGGTTTCAGTCTCGAATTATCAGTTCGGTTCGGGTTAGGTCTTCGGGTTTCAGTTTTTGAAGATTTGTGAACAAATGAGAAAAGTTATGGATACATATCTAAATCTAAACGTGGAGTAGAGACACTGCCAATGAAATATATTGAGTGAAGACACCAACGGTGAACCAGATCTAAAGTAGAGACACAAAAGATGATGTAGATCTAAAGTAGATACCTTAAATGAGGAATATCTGAAGTGGAAAATGCTTACGGTGTGACAAATTTGAAGTTGAAACACCCAGATGAGGCAGATCTGGAGACGCCGACGATGAAATTGGAACATTGATGGAGACACTAGGATGGAAGAGATAAGACAAATGACATTGGCAGTGGGTTAGGAGTAGAAATGTGATGGTGAGGAAGAGATGAAGAGAGTTGCTGAAGATGGAAACTCGAGAAAAAAAGACAGACAGGAGAGGAAGGAGGGTGAGGGATACGAAGAAACCCTAAAAAAACCATGGAGGGAGAGGAGAGAAAGAAGGAGAGAAATGAGAGGGAGAAGAGAAAGGGGGTGGGGAGGAGGGGCAACGTAGTGAAAGAAAGGGTGAGATAAAAATCCTAAAAAAAGTATATATATATATATATATATATATTTTTAAATAAGTGTAAATGTCGGTGCGATTCTGGTTTAACCGAGAAAATTTTTACTCGACCCGTAAATTGAACCGAATTTTCGATTCTACTATAAATCAACCCAACCCAACCCAATTTCTTTTTTAACCCAACCCAACCCTTACAGTTCGGGTTGGGTTCTTCGGGTTGTCGGGTTTTTTTAACACTCCCCAGGAAATAGTTATCAAATATGTTTCATTTTTTTTATTAAAAAAGAAAGAATACAAAACCATAAATAGCCATCAAACGTGCTTTTGTTTTTCTTTATTAAAAAATAAAAAATAAAAACATTATCAAACTAGCCTAAAATGCTCGAATTGAATTCAAGTGGTTTAATGGTTAAAATTGAACAATTCAAGTGGTTTAATGGTTACAATTGAACTCTTCATGATTCATCCCGAGAAAACAAGTAACGAGCACTAGTCAAGTTGTAAGCTTTTGGACTTCAGCCTCTTACGATCCGTTGGACATCTGAAGTAGAAAATGATTTCAAATTCCAGGATTTTAAATTATGGAAATGATTTTAAATTCTTAATTATGTTTGGAACCAAAATGAATCATTAAAATTAAAATTTAGTATTTGGATGTTCACGAGAAATAAAAAGAATGTATAACATGTTACTATTATGCCCTTAATATTTTGTAGAATATTATATTATTAATAATATAATATTTTAATATAAACTACTAATTTCAATCCTGAAAAATATAAATAATTTAATCAAATCAATCTAACAAAAATTAAACTCGTCAAATGTCACATTTATTTTAAAAACTAAAAAAATACAAATACTACAAAAATTCTTAAAATCAAATTATTTCAATTTATTCGCAACAAATTGTTTCTTTTTTATTTTTATCGGAGTTATTTTATGATATGGAGTACAAAAAATAAAAGCAAAAGGAAAAAAGAAGATAAAGATACAAAAAAACATAAACATATAGAGATCTAAACAATATTTAAGGAATCTTAAATACACCAAAAACAAAATAGAAAATCAATTAAAAAAAATCTTTGCTACGTGATAGAAAAAAAAAAGGCCAGTTTATAGTTATTAGAATAAAAAAAATAAAAAAATAAAAAAAAGATGACAAATAAAATTTTGAAACTAATTTGGTTGATGATGTACAAAGGTTAGAGTGATAAGTTTTTTTCACCAAAGCAAAATCAAAATTTGTTACACTTAAATTTAAAATCCTCACCCGACCTATTTCGAACATAAAATATTTAAACCAAAAACAGAATTCGAAATCATTTAGAATTTCAAATTTTTTTTTCTTTACCTACAACAAATGCTCCAAATCGGAGGTTCCAAATAGGGGTCAGGCATTTAGTATTATTTATATCTCTTTCTTTCTTTTTTTCTTCTTTGGTATCATTTCTGTTTGTGACTTCCTATTTCTTGTTTTCAATTTTTGAGAAGTAGTAACTATTCATCTTTTTCGTTTTTTAAAATCTTTCACAAAGTTGTTTTCAAATTTAAAAAATAATCCAAACAAGTTTCTTACTTTTGTTTTTAGTTTTTCAAACACATAATTTAATGTATTGTTGTATCATTTTTACCCACAAAATGCATAACATATATTTTTGTTTAAAAAATATATAGATATAATATAAATTGTTAGATACTATTTTAAGATTTAATTTTTCATATTAAACTTTTATTATTATTTTTTTAATTCAATGTTTGAGAGAACAATAAACACATTGATGAATATTTTTTCCATATAAAAATAAAACAAAAATATTTTTCAAATGCATCTTTCATTTTTTAAAAAGATAAAACCAAAAATCACAAACAAAAAAAAAGTAAGAAATAAAAACATTATCAAACGTGATCTGAGTAACCTCGAATAAGTTTTTTTGATCTTTACATTCTCCATTTTCTCACCAAACACGTTTTATTATTTTTAATTTACTTTTACCACATTTTTCCCTCAGTGACTCTACCAACAGGAACCTTTTTCTTTACTAATTTTACTAAGCCAGATGACAGTTTCCTGATTTGTTCGTCTCCTCAACTGTATGCCATGTTTACTGCCTCTTGCCTAGCAGAGTCGAAGAGCGAAGTCGATAGATACCGCTCACCGAAACTCGGAAAGATCACCTACGAGTGAAACAATTGGTAAACCATTTCAAGATTGATTTTAGTTTATAAAGTTGCAGACGTTTAATCTGAGTCCAGGCTCAGCATCTGTGGATTTTTTGTCCAAGCAATGAAGGAATTAGTGTCGGGAAGAATTAAGTACCGGTTTGATAACGTTTTCATTTTTTGTTTTCTAATCTATTGTCAAAATCGTTTTGAAACCATAGTTACTTTAAGTAAAAAAGAATAGTTTTCAAAAACCCCTTTTTTCTTCTGTTCTGTTTTTGAAATTTGGCCAAGGTTTCAAACAAAAAATGGAAAACAAAATCGTTATAAAAAAAGGCCTAAGAACTTTAATTGAAATGGCTCTGACAAAAGTTTTTTCAAGCGTGTGATTTCGAAGTGGATGCGACTCCTACGAAGATTCTAATGGATGGTAACATAGACTTACAGCAATAAGTTTCCCTTTACTTTCAGGGCGTTTTGCGACCTTTATAGCAGCAGCTGCCGCAGCACCGGACGAAATACCCACCTACAAATAATACGTCAAGGAGTATTTAGGAGTGATAGTAGGATGGGTGATTTGAAAAAAGAGATTTAAGTATAATTGATTTTTTCAAAATCACCACCCAAGTGATACTTAAAAATCAATTTAAAGTGATTTTAAACTTTTTAAAATTAATTTTCAGAATGTTCCCGAATACCAGAAGGCCTTCTTTTGAAGCAAGAAGCTTTGCAGTTTCAATGGCTTCCTCACTTGATACCTTACAGAACATAAATAGCAGCATGATAGATTACAAGTTGTAAGAAAACATAAAAAAAACATCAATTGCCTCAATAACAAAAGCCATGTGTATTAAGTCATGCTTTTAGATTTTAAAGGTATTAATTGATTAGCTAATATTCATACTTATGTAAAGTTTGGAGGTTGAATATTCCAACATTTTTTCGTTTAGCTGAACATTAAATAGCTCATATGATCAGTAAGAGATTATTTGTCCAATTTTAAAAAATGCCTAAGAACTTAAGAAATGATGTCCTAATATTTTGAACATTTCAAGTATTATAAAAATGTTCAGATTCTGTAACTTATGGTTAAACATATCGGACTCAGGCTAATATACGTGGTAAGTAACTCCACAGGATGAAATTGAGAGGCGTTGTCTTGTAAAATTAGACGGGATCCAACATAACAAACTCAGAATAAACTTTGAAAACTGCTAATCAAGATTGTAGCCACTGGCATCAAGTCGGGTTTCGAGACTTACTTGAATAACTTCGTCGAGCAATTCGATGTTCAGAATCGAAGGGATGAAACCAGCTCCAATTCCTTGTATGAGATGATGCCCTTCAATGCCAGAACATGTCAATGATCAGCACTTGATGAGGCCAATAACTATACTCAGAAAACGTCTAAGGGTTTTGCACATATTTTCAACACTATACTTACAATATGGATGTTCGTTTTTGGGCCCCAACCCTTGTGGGGGCTTTTCTTGTAACTCTTTCTACCAGATTTTATGTGCCCTCCGTCCCTACTGATGCCTCTTTTGTCTCCTCTCTTTGGAAGGATGATCTCAAAAGGTCCAATTCTTTGCATCGCATAATTTTGTAAGGGAAGTTAACACCTTAGATCGTATTTAGAGGCATCCTCTTTTGTGTTGGGTCCGACAGAAGTGCAGTTTGTATAAGCTCATGTTGGAGAATCTCTCAATCATATTCTCTGATCTTATGGGTGCGTAATAGGAATTGTTGTTCTATGATAAAGGAGGCACTCCATTTTCTTCCTTTTCGTGATAAATGAAAAGCTTTTTGGTAGACTTGTTTTTTTGCTGTCTCGTGGAGCTTAGGGCTTAGAGGAACAATAGAATCTTTATGGACTTCTATCACTAAATTGTTTTGGAAATTATAAGTTAGGTTTTATTACTTTTTATTGGAGTCCGTTTGTTTGTTAGTATGGGCTGTTTTTTGTATGCTCTCGTAGTTTCTTCCATGTTTCTTATCGAAAACTTGACTTCTCATTAATAAAAAAAACATGGATATTCACAAACGCAAGCAGTGGGCCCTTGATATCCCGATTATCAAATAAAACAAAAAGAAAAATAAATAAAAGTTCCACCTTTCTGTTTTTCACCAGCAAGTACAACTTCTGACTTCCATCCAAACTTACCAACAAGGTCACTTACATCCCAAGTTTATAGTGTATTAGGAAGCGTTTTATATACCATGACATTGTCTTTGAAGAAATTTCTTTTATCTATCAACAAAACTTTCTTTCTTTTTTTTTTTTATTTTGAAAAGGATCAACAAAACTTTGAAAGCATTACCACAAAATTTAAACACCAGAGTGAAGAAAAGGGTATGAAGGGTATGTTCATGTGAGAGTACTCCTAAAGGTATGTGGGAAATATTATTAGTATATGAGTAGAGGGTACTATGGTAATTAGCTAAGGTTGAATTGGTTATAAATAGACATAGCAAGGATAGAAGGAGATCATCTTGAAAAATAGTTAGTGTGAGGAAAGATTTTTGGAGAGAGATAACCCTCTCGAAAGACTATTGGTATTGTAATTTCTCTTTGGATATTGCAATATAGTTACTTAGTTTCGTTTAGTATATTCGGATTCCTAACGGTCTATTTGCAACAGTAGGAACTCACCATGTCGTCCGCCACTCAACGCTGCACTTTCAACTGGTTCTACTGCATACACCTACATATTAAAAGCACTTTTAGAGTTTTATCTGCAGGAATATAAAACTCTATGCATATAGAGACGAAAATTTATTATACTAGCATAGATACTGCTACTATTTATTGTCCGTCAAATAAGTGTCATTTGAGAATGTAGTGTCATTTGAGAATGTAGAGTCCCGCAGCATTAAATAACTATTTATAACAAAAAAATCTATAATGTGAATGAAGGGAGTAGGTACTATTTGAGTACGAGGAATTTTCCCCTTTAACAGAAACAAAAGCGACCTTGATTTTTGGATTCTGCTCTTTGAGGAACTTCCCAGCACCGGTTATCGTTCCCCCCGTCCCGACCCCAGCCACCAGTGCATCAACTTTTCCACCAGAATCTCTCCATATCTCCACGCCAGTTGTTTCATAGTGAATCTAGTGAAAGAAAAAAGATCAAAGCCTGATACAACAGCAAACAAGGATTCCAATTACAACAATATTACTTTTGTATTGGCAGGATTGTCAAATTGCCTCATATAATAACCGTTGGGTGTGGTTTTTTCTAGATCCTCAGCCATCTTTAGAACAGCATCAACACTCATTTCCGGGTCGGTGATACGCAGCTCGGCTCCGAAAGCGAGTAGCAGAATTCTTCTCTCCATGCTGAATAAAGCTGGCATTATAAGAATGAGTCTATATCCCTTGATTGCTGCAATCCATGCCAGGCCAATACCAGTGTTTCCCGCTGTGGTCTCAATGAGAACACTCTTTTGCCACACACAAACACACAAAAAAGCCGGTATCATAAGGTGAAGCTTTTCAGAACATGACCAAATCTAGCAGTTTCCTAGTATGAACCAATACAGTTCATCCAAGTGATTTGCAATTTTCACAAAAATGTACGAATGCCATTGTTAAGATTCAACCCTGACTCTGTTATTTACTATCAGTGACCTCAAAAGGCACAAATAACACCTTATGGGCGCAAGCCTAGCCAATGCAAGAGGGCTTGCTAATCAAGACCAACATAAAGTATAGGCAAGTGAGACGATCGTTTAAGACTATACATCCATTTCATTCAATATCAAACTCTCAATAGGTGAACTTGACTCAGATATGAAAAGGCTTTTAGATAAGTTACTTCACTATTAAGAACTGCTTGATAAACTTATTACAAATGAAAGTTTGATAACACACTCAAAACTAAATTAACATGAATTGAAAGATGACAAAATAATAAAAGAATGAAATTAATATACTAAATTTATTTCAAAGAATGTAAAAGCAGCCACTAACTAATAATTGTCAAGTGTCTTAGGACATTTCCCTTTTTTTTCCCTTCCTAGCATACACATCTACTAATGGAGGCCTACCAGACATTTACAACTCAAAACTCTTCACTCAAGAATCCTGTCCTAAGGGTATTTTGAGTGCCTATTGCATAGTTTCAAGTTCTCAAGTCTCACGATCTTACTTGAACAGGATCTGATCTGTTCTATAGTTTGTACAACTGTTTCCTTGAGTTATAAGGAGGCAAGAATCAAAGTTCTCAAGTCTCTAATACTGGTAGAGATTAAAAGACTTATAATTGGACAATCCAAATCATTAGCAAATGAAACACTCTATTTACTTACCTTCCCCGGTGTTATGAGGCCCTTATCTTCCGCGTCTTGTATCATACTGAGTGCAATCCTGAAATCCAGAGATTACGAAGCAAATACGTCGAAAGATCGCTTACATTTCAACAAGAAAACGTAAAACAAATTCATGTTAACGGATGGACTATTGACCGGTCTTTGACGCTCGAACAAGGCTCCATTGACTCTAGTTTGGCAGCAATCTTGGCAAAACAGCCATCTGCCATCTTGTTGAGATACACCATAGGGGTATTGCCTATTAGCTGCAAATAGGAAAAGAAGGAAGATAGAGCAAATCAAGTGGAAAAAAGAGTTGAAGATGAAGTTTAAAGCATATAAGCAGCCATGGAAAAAGATATTACTTCAGTGGCATCATTCTTGATTGCACAATTGTGCTCCATGTGTTCACAAGCTATGTTTGGTTGAGCAAAAACTACAAGATAAAAGTGGAAAGGTAAGGACACAAAAGCAGACACCAAAATTTATCCTAAAATTTCATTGTATGAATAAATTAACTCAAACTTTGGACAACCTCCAAAGAGTGTGCTGATTGACAAGGGCCACAATGTTTGGAGTCACCCTTCAAATCCTAGGCTCCAGTTTGAAAACTTAGGACCGTTTGGTAATGTGTCGTTTAGTAACGTTCCCGTTTCTTATTTCTCGTTTCTAATTTTCTTAAAAAATTAAACATTTTACAACTAATTTTAATCAATATCGAATCCATGAGTACAGTTGGATTCATGCGATTATACTTTTATTTATTAAAAAGGAACCTTACCATCCTTAATAACTTGAGTCCCATTTGATAACATTTTTATTTAGTTTTCAATTTTTTAAAATTAAAAACTATAAACACTACTTATTAAAAAAAATGAGAAAACATAAACGCTATCCAACGAACCCTTAATAACTCGAATTCCATTTGATAACATTTTATCTTTGGTCTTCAATTTTTTAAAATTAATTTTATAAACACTACTTAAATCGGGTTTCTTTCATAAATATTTTCAAAATATAAGCCAAAATTTGAAGAAGTAATTTTTAAAAATCTGTTTCAATTCTTGAAATTTGGCTATCAAGTCAAATATGTGTTTTTAAGAAAATGAAAAACATACCAAAATAAATATACGCAACCATCGTAACTTTTAAAAACAAAAAACGAAATAGTTGCCAAACCGGACTTGAATGTATCTCAAACCGGGTTGGCGGGAGTGGGCTTGGTAGTGGAACAAGCCTTTCCATCGATTACTGGGGTGAGTCATGAACAAGAGGCTCCTGTAACCCCGACTAAAAGAAGAAAGCTGACCAACTTTGAAGAACCCGGCCAAATGGGAAAATTAAAAAAGAAAAAAGAAAAAAAAATGATGTATGCCATGAACTAGATTTGAAAAGAGCAAAGGAATATGATGAATTAATTGGCAATCAATAACATGAATCCTACCAGGAAATCAGAAGATGAAAAAAAAAAGGTTCACAAATCACTGGTTTCGACACGAGTCCAAGATGATCGGATCGCAAAGCAGCAGCTCAAAATTGAAGAGAGAAACAGAGTACCTTCAGTGACAGTCAATGCATATCATTGGGAGGAGGCATTTTGTTGGGAGTCATCGCCGTTTGTGGCGCCCAGGCGCTGAGAAAGACAAAAAGTTGGTCCAAGCGACTTGTGTCGCCACGCACGCGAGACGAGGAAGTAACCACATTCAAAGAACCCAACAAAAATATATTTTGAATAAATATATATCTAATGATTAAATATTACAAATATATAATAAGTATACAACATGTTTGGTAGCATCGGGCAACCCTGCACGTTTGCCACGTGGATACGACTGAAAGTATCCGAGGAATGAGGTCTATGTGCACCGTTGATTGTCGGTCCAGAGAATGCCTAAGTTTTCAAATGGTAGAACTAACTTGAGTGTGAGAACTTGTTCATTTGCATCGGTTTTCACACTCGAAACACGAGATAGTTCCTATCTTTTTAGTTAATTCTTACTTTACTTTGGTCTTTAATCTTTTCCAGTTCTCAGTTCTCAATTTATCCTTAGTGTATTAGAAATTCTATTGGACCAATAAAATAATTGGTTAACAAAAAGTTGACAAATAATCACTCATTATATATTATTGTTTTATTAATATATTTAGACATGAGAACGTGTCACTCGAATGCTACTTTGACACATGAAACACAATCCATTTATGACCAAGATTTGATGCACCAATTCACAATTTTTTTTTTCGAGTGGCATGCACGTCTATGTGTCCAAATTAAACATGTTAAAAAAACAATACTTTAATGTCACATTATATTTATGTTAAGTTTTTTAGATAAAGACCTCATTTGAGAATTTTTAATTCTTTGATGATAAAATTGAGAATCTAAAAAATTAAAGATAAAGAAAAATCAAAGATTAGGTACATTAGGTATGATTTAGCCTATTAAAAATTTATGTTTTTGGATATGCTAAATAATCAGTATCTTTGATAATTGAGAAAAACCTCAACCTCACGACACATCCTACAACGAAAAAATAGTTTGATTAAAATTAAAATATAGATACATTATTTTACAAATTTAACCATTAGACTTCCCAACTCCTCTTTAAAATTTAGGATCGGACAAGGAGGGTGTATTTAGGAGTAATTTTGGCATGACCAAAATGTCATAGAATCATTTTTGCTATTGTTAAAATCACTTCACTTTCTATGGACTATGTTTAACAAATTAAAAAATTGATTTTAAGAAAGGTTAAAACTACTTTAAATTAAGTTTTAAGGTATCATTTGGATTATAATTTTAAAAAATCAATTGTAATTAAATCTCTTTTCTCAAAATTATTCGTTTGTCACTCACAAACACACCTTTATTAAGGACATGTAGAATGATTTTATGATGGCTAGAATCACTTTTACTAATGTTAAATCACTATTATTTTAAATGACATGTTTGAAAATAATTCTCATCGTAGTGATTTATAGTCAATCACTTTAGAGGTGTTTGGTTTGCAGGTTTGAACAAGTTTGTTAAACCTTGGTTTATTAAGTATGTGCATTGTTAAGTCTGTGTTTAATTGTACAAAAAATAGTTTTGTTAAATCTGTGTTTGTTAAATCTGTGTTTGTTTGGGTAGAAAATAGGATTGTTAAATACGAGTTTGTTAACATTGGCGAATCCAAGATTTGATGTCAAGGGGGTACAAATGTGGAGAAGTATCAATTTTTTTACCTAAATTTGACAATGTATATCAATTTATTCCTTACACTTATAAGTATTGCAATTTTCACATGTGTCGCAAATTTTATTCATCGATAGACTTTCATTTGAAAATTTGTTGAAAAAATATTCTCATATGTCAAATATTTTTTTTAATGAAATAATTGATAGGATTCAAACAAAAGCGACACTAGAGTTGATTTTTTATCTTAATTTTGTAGGTTTTGACAGAGTTATTTAACAACTCATTTTCTGCCTTCCCCTTGTTTGGAAGCTCGGATTTATGAGGATTTTCAAATCAGAATGATTTTAAAATCATTTTTCGTGTTTGGTTGGATTAAAAAAATAGAATTTGAAATCCAATCTGATTTGAAATCCCGTTTTGTCTCAAAAAAAATTTCATCCAAAATAGGTCGGATTTGATAGGATTTTAATTGAAAGTTGATCATATTACAATTTTATCCTAGCAATCAGTTTAATTGAAGAAATCAAACTGAATAAAAAAAGAACTAGACCAACGTACAGAGAATGAGACCCATACACAAAGAATAAGATCATGAGATAAAATGAGAGAAATAAAATGAAGATGAGATGAGATAAAAAGAGAAGAAAATGAAGAAGGATTATAAAAAGAAGAGAGAAAAGACAGAAAGATATAGAAAGAGAAATAGAGAAGAAGATGGCATAAAAATAGAAGAAATAAAATGGAGAAGAAGGTATAAAGAGAAGAAAGAAGAAAGGTGACCAGAAAAATAAAAGGGAGATGAAGAAAGAGGAGGAATAAAAAAAAACAAGGAGGAAGTTTGTTTGGATTTTGTTTTATAATAAGAGGGTAATGGTAAAATAAATATTTTATTTTCATTTTTTGCAATCATCCAAACAAAAAATTTTATTTTTAACTAATTTGAAATCCATCAAAATTTGTTAGGTTACAAATGCAATTAAGAATTCGAAATCATTTTTATAATTTAGAATCTTAGTGTTTATGCAAGGGTTTGCAAAAATGGTTCTTCACGAATCGAGCTCGAACCCGGTCTCCGGTTCCGACCTGAGCCCTAGGGTGGACCTGCACAAGAGGGCAAATATTCTGACGCTCAAGTCAGTATAGATCGGATTCTGTATTCAGTTCGAGGTGAGATTCGATACCTGAGCGTGAAATGAAGCCCTCTATTTATAGGTGATGGATCCGACAGTACACACGACCGACAGTTATATGTYTTTTCTCATATCGGACCTGTCGGGTTCCGAGCAGGTCGAACCCCAGTCAGGTCCAACCTTGGTGCCCATACTTAGCCTTTTATAACGGGCGAATCTGGTCTCCTTGGTAGGGTCGAGGTGGACCTAGGCAATCCTTTTTATTCAGTTCCCCCAAAACACTAATGAGGGTCCTCCACGTGTCTTGGGTATGTTTACCCCCAAAGATTGGCCCCTCTCTGTCAAGTTCGATCTTGACCTGACAGAGAAGTTCGTTCGAATCCATTCTGGACACGTGGCGATTTTTCATTTGTAGAGGGAATGTGACCGTTGCGGAAGACGTTTCGATCTACCAGGTTGTCGGAGCGCTCAAGTATTCCGCCGTTGCGTATCTCGAGAAGATCCTAGCCGCTCATTGATTACACGTGTACGACGCAGAGGTTTTTCCGATAAGCTATAAATAGCTCCGAAACTTCAGGTCAAACCTTACGTTTCCTGAATTTCTGGAGTTCGATCTGAAACCAGCTCGAACCCTTTCTATAGGTCAGTCACTTTTCCTTGCTCTTATTCTTCTTTCAAACATGGTAGTTTTCTTGTCTTCCCCCTCCAGTAGTGATAGCCTGGGTAGTGTAGGTCCGGCTATAAGTAGTTCTTCCCCCAAACCAAATGATTCTGGGGAGGTCTTAGCTCGTAGGTTAGAGTCCGAGCTAGAAGAAATTGTGAACTTTAGGTTCTCAGATAATTGAGAGGATAGTGATACCTCCACCTCGGGTACCCTTCTAGGATGCCCGAGCACTATCTCGGACCCCTCCGTAGGGGGTTTAAAATTCCGAATGACATCTTCCTTAGGATTCCGGAGGAAGGGGAAAGAGCTGACAATCCTCCAAAGGGATGGGTCACTCTTTACTTAAAAATGTTTGAGTACGGCCTCAGACTTCCTCTCCACCCTTTTGCTCAAGAGTTCCTCAACCGAACTGGTTTGGCGCCGGCACAAGTGGCCCCCAATGAGTGGGGTGTCATTTTTGCCTTAGCCATCCTTTTTTGGTTGCGAGCTCGGGATGAGGACGAGGCCGAGCTACTAAATGTCGAGCAACTACTTGGATGCTTCGAAGCAAAAAGGATAGCTAAGAAGCCTGGTCGGTACTACATGTGCGCAAGGAAAGGCGCAGGTGGCATAGTCAAGGAGCCGACCTCCATCAAGGGATGGGTAGGAAAGTGGTTCTTTGCCTCTGGAGAGTGGCTGGCAAAAGACGAGTCTGGTCGTGCCTTTTTTGATGTTCCCACTAGGTTTGGGAACTTAGGTATAGAGTCTTTCTTGCTTTCTTTCCTTTTAATTTCTTGATTTTCACATCTAACTCGAATTTCTGTTTGCTTTGTGTAGTATCGATTAAGCCAATTCTCGAGCTCGCTCAAGCCACTTTTGACACCCTCAGATACTACAAGGACAACTTCCCCAAGGGCAGGAAGATTGGAACCTTGGTCACCGACAAGCTACTCTTGGAGTCGGGGCTACTTGACTACAACCCTTTGGTTCGACCAATTGAAGCTTCGAGGCCGAACTCTGAGCTCGGTAAGCCGCGTTCGATCTTGACTTCAATTTTATCTTTCAAGTTTTCTCTTCTGACTTTTCATTTTATCCATATTGCAGCCATGGTGTGTGGATTCACGAGCAGCGTGAAACGCAAGTCTAAAGGTCGTGCTCACGCCTTTAAGATAGTTCGAAGCTCTGACCTAATTACTCCTACTGTGGACCAGCACGTAGCTCAGGACCAGGCGGGTCCATCTTCTGCAGCTCCAACTCCGGTGATCGAGTTGGATTCTACTAGGGAGCGCTCTAGAGAGAAGCGCTCGAGGAGCGAGTCCAAAGCCTTGGACGTGTCACCTCTTTGCGAGGTGAGAGAAGGCTCTCCTTTGAAGAGGAAGAAAAAAAAGAAGAAAGCCACCTCCTCTTCGGAGATTGGACCTCGTGGCTCCCTGCCTTCAAGCCACACCGATTTGGTAAATGACCCGGAAGCTCGGATGGGGGGACATCTAACGTGAAGATGCGGTTCAGAATGGAACCATCAAGCTCCGGGGTGAAAGACCAGGTGTCACGCATCTCGGCTGCCTGCTTGGATCACTGTCTCAGGAGAGCATCCAAGTTTGTGAGTGACCCAGGGTCCGTGCTGCAGCGGACCATCGACCATGCTGCCGAGGTAAGACCTGCTCTTTATTACTTGGTTTTACTTCCTTATTTTGTGATTTGGTCTAACATATGCTCGCCTTCTATGTTTCGTAGGCGTTTACTGCCTCC